TTTTCGATATTCCTCTGGTAATAGCATTGGGATTTTATTCTTTATGATTAGGTATCTATTCTATATTATTATCATTATCGTTATTTTATCACTGCTTTTATCGTCATTATCATTAGCAGTAGAGTCAATATACTTATAATCTCATTTCTTGTACTTACTGTATTTTCTATGTCATAATTATCATCATTACTACTGCTCTAATTCTTCAAAAAATATTAATATCAATTTCCTTTTATCCCCAACTTTGTTCCATTAACATCCGAACGTTCATCCTCCGGTAGCCAGAGTTCGAAAAAAAACAAAACGAACGGAAGCCAAAACGCACTCGTTCGCACACCGCTTGCTTTCACAGACATGCACTTAAGACTCAGTGTCCAAGACGTGCGGCGTGTGTCAGCGGTTCAATTTTATAGACATTTCTAATTACACTCGAACGTTCATTACCGGCACGTTAATTGTTATCTCGACCCGCGCGATTTATTGCATTTTACCACGAGAGACGAGAGGGAGGGGGAGAAGGGGGGGATGAAGAGGGGAGAAAGAGAGAGTGGAGAAGAGAAGAGTAAGGGTGAGAGGAGAGAGAGAGAGAGAGAGAGAGAGAGAGAGAGAGAGAGAGAGAGAGAGAGAGAGAGAGAGAGAGAGAGAGGGAGAGAGAGAGAGAGAGAGAGAGAGAGAGAGAAAGAGAGAGAGAGAGAGGGAGAGAGAAACAGAGAAACAGAGAGAGAGAGAGAGAAAGAGAGACAGACAGACAGAGACAGAGACAGAGACAGACAGACAGACAGACAGAGAGCGCATGCACGTGCCTAACATGAATTAATCAGCAAGGGTATATTTACGAGGCTGGTTTTCGAAATCGATCCGATGAGGGAGCTTTTTTTCTTTCTTTTTTTTTAACACACGCGAGTGAGGTATGCTGAATGATGACTGTGTGAATGTGGCTTGAAAATACACATCATCCATAAAAGCTGTTAATTTCCATTCGGGCCAAAAGGAAATTAATGAGGGGGGGGGGGGAGGAGTAATGGCGAGGACTTGAGGTATGGAGGGAGAAGATGGTGGTGGTGGTGGGGGGGGGGGGGGTAATAGGTGATAGAAGATAGGTGGTGTGAGGAGGAGGGGGTGGGGAGGGGGAGGGGGAAGGGGGGAATGCAAGCAACACGAACGACGAGGAACGTGAGTCAGTGAAGTTTGTTTAGTCGTTGGAGGAAGAGACGGTGTTGAATATACTTGCAGAGTTTTATTTTCATTTCTCATTTTATTTATCTATCGAAAACTTAATCACATTCAGATGTTTACTTCACTGTTATTAGCTTCTTCCTTTTTCTATTTCATTATCTTATGGTTTATTTATTATTACTGTTTGTCTTTTTTTAAGACAAATTGGGATTACATAATATTTAGGAAAATAATATCACTATCATTAGTCATACCAAAGATAACAATAACACTTTGGCTCAGCAATATCATCAATATTCAACAGGAAAGACAGTGATGCTTAATAACTAATAACATTCTTACTACCAGCTCTACCATCACTACCTTTAAGATCTATACACAATCCTGAGTGGCTCTAATGATGCCAATCGTGAAAACAACAAAGCATCGCGCAGCCCAGAGAGCCAGCGGAGGCGAGACACAGCATCCAGCCCAAGTATCCTGAGCGGTGCCTTGATGAAGACACCCCCCCCCCCCCCGCCACTTCCTAAGGCCGTCTCCGCCGCGGACACAAGGGGGCGCCGACCCCGGGTCCCCGAACAATCTTCTTGAGTGGATCCCGGGCTTTGAGGCGTCCGTCTGACCGTCATACGCACGCACACACGCACATACACATACATACACGCGCACGCACGCACGCACAAACACACACACACACACATACAAATACACGCACACATGTGCACGCACATTCACACATGCACGCACTCACACATAGCAACAAATATTCTGCTTTGCTAGGTTTTGCTTTACGTGTGGAGTAAGAATGCTTCATTTACATCGTTATGTGGGGGCTTTAAAGTTAGTTTCCTTGTTTATTATTTTTGGCCTTTAATGATATTTCCTCTAAGGTTTTTCTGTAATGGAGATTTTTTTTGGAAATGGAAATAACTTTAAGTTGGAAAAGAGAGAGTGGGCGGTTCTCCCAGAGAAAGAAAACGGGAATAAACGGAAGAAACCACATGAAACGAGGAAAACATGAAGACGACTTTGGAAGAAAACAAGTAAACAGTAACAAATTAATGAGACTGATAAAGAAAACAAATGACGTAGTTTCATTACCTTAATGAAGAAACGGAAACCTTACATAAGCAGAAAGAAAAGGTAAGATAAACGTCAAAAAAAGACAAAGAAACCGAGAAACCTTCCCTATCCATCTACCAAATGAATTACAAAAAAAAAAAAAATCTAAACTCACCACGAAACCATTATCTCCACCGGAATCACCAGGGAGATGTCGTGCAAGGAAGCTGTTAAAACGTGAAGGATGAGTGAAGGGCTGAGA